AGTGCTTAATGCATGGGACAGTGCCTGGCACACAGTGAACCCTGGATAATGGCTGGTTAGTAGCGCCGAAGTCACTGTGATCAGCATGACTCTGGTTATGATGATGAGTTCCTGTGGCCTGGGGTTTCCAGAGCTCTCCGTTTTGTCTCTCGTGGGCCTGGACGCAGGTTCTTCCCCATCTGCAACACATACCCTCCTCCCCCTCCCCTTGCTGAAGTAACTGCTGCTTTCTTTGGAGTCTCAGGTCAGGCATTGTCCCACCAGGAGGCTCCCCCACCCAGTCCTTGAGGTGACTCTTTACCATGCCACCTGTCGCCTCAGTTACTGTGGACTGTCCATGTCTCTCTGACTGTATGGCAGGAACCTGTCATCTTTGCCTCCATGTCCAGTGGAAGCCAGACACTCAGCCCTCAGTGACTCTTGGTTGCCCCTCTGAGGTTTAACCCTAGTGTCCTGGTTGTACAAGAGCAGGGGGACTGATGAGCTCTAGCCAAGGAAGGGTATGGGAGACTTCCTGGAAGAGGAGGCACTGGAGCCGAGCCACGAAGGCTCTGGGTTGGCATTTCTGGCAGAGGCACAGCATGTGCCACAACGTGTTGGCATTAGACAGCACTGTGTCTGTAGGTGGGCAAGTAAGTGTGTGGCCTGGCCCTTGTACAGTATGATATAGAAACACAGTTGGGGGCCTGTGGGTGCCCCCAGGGAAAGGGGCTTCCTTTAAGCTGTGGACTGTGGAAGGGAAGTGGCTTCAAGGAAGTGGTGACAGTTGTGGCGGGGTCACAGTGGGCAGAGAGAGGTTTTGGATGTGGCAGATGTCACCGATTTTCTTGCTCACTGAAAGAGCAAAGGGGCAGGACCTAGGGGCAGAAGCTGGGTCGGGCGTCAAGTTGGATTTTTTCCTTTTCACGTTTTGAATTGGAGAAGGATTTGGCCGGGCGCGTGGCTCAAGCCTGTAATCCCAGCACTATATAGGAGGGAGGCGCGAGACGGCGGAATCAGAGGTCAGGAGATCGAGACCCATCACTGCCTAACATAGTGAAACCCGTCTCTACTAAAAAATACCAAAAAATAAGCGGGCGCGTGGGTGGGCCCTTGATCCAACTACTCGGGAGGCTGAAGCCTAGGAAATGGCCGTGAACCCCGGGAGCGGAGCTTGCAGTGAGCTGAAGATCCGGCCCACGTCACTCCAGCCCTGGGCGCAGAGACAAGACTCGCGTCTCAAAAAAAAAAAGAATTGGAGAGATTGGTGTAGATGTTTATTAATTGAGAGGAAGGAATCAGGAGAGGGAGAGGCTGGAATGCCAGAAAAGCAGGGTGAGGGTAGGAGGGAACAGAAGAGCGGGTGGCAGAGGGGTGAAGGTGTTTGGACTAAAGCCTTGGTGTCTGTGCTCTCAGCCCTCTCTAAAACGTCACACCAGGGCTGGGCCGGGTGGCTCACGCCTGTAATCCCAGCACTTTGGGAGGCTGAGGCAGGAGAATTGCTTGAGCCCAGGGGTTCAAGACCAGCTTGGGCAATATAGTGAGAACCCCATCTCTATTTAAAAAGAAAAAATTAGCTAAGCATACCTGTGGTCCCAGCTACATGGGAGGCTGAGGCAGGGGGATCTTTTTTTTTTTTTTTTTTTCCTTTTTTGAGACGGAGTCTCGCTCTGTCGCCCAGGCTGGAGTGCAGTGGCCAGATTTCAGCTCACTGCAAGCTCCGCCTCCTGGGTTCACGCCATTCTCCTGGTTCAGCCTCCTGAGAAGCTAGGACTACAGGTGCCCGCCACCTTACCCAGCTAGTTTTTTATATTTTGTTAGTGGAGACGGGGTTTCACCGTGTTAGCCAGGATGGTCTCGATCTCCTGACCTCGTGATCCGCCCGTCTCGGCCTCCCAAAGTGCTGGGATTACAGGCTTGAGCCACCGCCCCTGGCCGGCAGGGGAATCACTTAAGTCCAGGAGTTTGAGGCTGCAGTGAGCTATGATTGCACCACTGCACTCTAGCCTGGGCGACAGAGTGAGACCTTGTCTCAAAAAAATAATAAAACAACACACTGGGCCTCTGGAGTAGGCCTGGCATTTTTCAGTGACACAAAAGTATGGCTTAATCCGTCTGTGAGTTTTGGAAAGGAAGTCTTCTCCAGTGGGTGCTTTTTCTAACACTTCTCTGATACTTACCTCCCTGTGTAACAAAAGTAGTCTTCAGGTAGTAGCCTAAAGCAATGGCAACACCTGGCTAGGATTTAATAACTCTGGTCTGGTTTTTTTGTGTGTATTTTATTTTATTTATTTATTTTATTTATTTAATTTTTGAGATGGAGTCTCACTCTGTCACCTAGGCTGGAGTGCAGTGGTGCAGTCTCGGTTCACTTGCAAGCTCCGCCTCCCAGGTTCACGCCATTCTCCTGCTTCAGCTTCCCAAGTAGCTGGAACTACAGGCACCCACCATCATGCCCGGCTAATTTTGTTTTTGTATTTTTAGTAGAGATGGGGTTTCGCTGTGTTAGCCAGGATGGTCTTGAGCTCCTGACCTTGTGATCCACCTGTCTCGGCCTCCCAAAGTGCTGGGATTACAGGCGTGAGCCACCAAGCCCAGCCTTTTGTGTTTATTTTTAAGATTAACCTATTTATGGGAAAGAATACTGGTTTTAAGTGCAAAGAGGAGATGATTCAAAGATAAATCATGTTATGCAGATAAGTGAACAGCAAATACTGGAGCTTGGGAATCACCTCCCCAGCCCAGGGCTTCTGCAAGGAAAAGCCTTTCAGAGTGATGAGGGCAGGGAGGGAAGCAAGAGACAGCTTCCCTTGGGAGGCCAAGGGAAGGATCGCCTGAGCTCAGGAGTTCAAGACCAGCCTGGGCAACCTTGTCGCTACTAAAAATAAAAAATAGGCCAGGCGCAGTGGCTCACGCCTATAATCCCAACACTTTGGGAGGCCGAGGTGGGCAGATCACCTGAGGTCAGGAGTTCGAGACCAGCCTGCCCAACGTGGAGAAACCCCATCTCTACTATAAATACAAAAAATTAGCCAGGCGTAGTGGTGCATGCCTGTAATCCCAGCTACTCTGGAGGCTGAGGCAGGAGAATCGCTTGAAATCGGGAGGTGGTGGTTTCAGTGAGCCAAGATCGTACTATTACACTCTAGCCTGGGCAACAAGAGCGAAACTCCATCTCAGAAAAAAAAAAAAAAAAAAGTGTGGTGACATGTGCCTGTGGTCCCAGCTGCTCAGGAGGCTGAGGTGGGAGGATGGCTTAAGCCCAGGAGTTTGAGGTTGCAGTGAGCTATGATCGCAGCATTGCACCCCAGCCTGGGAGACTAAGCAAGATGCTGTCTCAAGGGAAAAAAAAAAAAAAAAAAAGCTTCCTGGGCCTGCTTCTGACATAGTCCATTGAGTCTCAGAGGCATTTCCAGACATGCCTTTGAGAACTACTGAACGAGAAGAGAGTTCTCAAACTGAGTCCAAAGGAACTTCGGTGTACTACAGTGTTATTAGATTACCTTGGGAGAGGTTGGGAAGGGTTCCTGGGGAAGTAAGTTTGAGAAGCCCTTCTCCAGTTCACTGCATGTTTTTGTTTGTTTTTTGTTATTTTTGAGATGGAGTCTCGCACTGTCGCCCAGGCTGGAGTGCAGTGACGCGATCTCGGCTCACTGCAACCTCCACCTCCTGGGTTCAAGTGATTCTCCTGCCTCAGCCTCCTGAGTAGCTAGGATTACAGGCGCCCGCCACCACGCCCGGCTAATTTTTTGTACTTTTAGTAGAGATGGGGTTTCACTATTTTGGCCAGGCTGTTTTCGAACTCCTGTCCTCGTGATCCACCCACCTCGGCCTCCCAAAGTGCTGGGATTACAGGTGTGAGCCACTGCACCCAGCCCACTGCATGTTAGATAGTCTGTCAAGGCCTGTGGAGTGCTGGGGTTAGGAAACCTGTTTAATGTTTTCAGGCCTCATTCAGTAGCTTCAATATTTGGGACCTAAAAGGCCTTCCATAATCAGAGAATAAATGAAATGCTGTAGATGAGGAGGTGGGGGAGAGTGGTCAGTGGAAGCTTTTAAGTAATTACTAGCTTGATTCATTCATTACAAATGCACAGCTGGGTGCAGTAGCTCATGCTTGTAATCCCAGTGTTTTGGGAGGCCAAGGCAGGAGGATCACTTGAGGCCAGGAGTTCAAGACGAGCCTGGGCAACATAGTGAGACCCTGTGTTTGCAAAAAAATTGTTTAAAAATTAGCCAGGCGTAGTGACATGTGCCTGTGGTCCCAGCTACTCAGGAGGCTGAAGTGGGAGGATTGCTTGAGCCCAGTAGCCTGAGGCTGCAGTGAGCCACGATAGTGTCCAGCCTGGGTGACAGAATGAGACCCTGTCTCAAAAAAATTTTTTTTCAAAAAGTGGAAAAGGCAAATCTGCCCTTGTGGAATTTACATTCTAGTTGGAGGAACACAGTAATGTAATGGGAAGATATTAGGGCTGTAAGTCCAGCTGCGGGCAGCTGGCTGTCAAGATGGGGCAGGTGTGGATCAGAGGCAGAGATGAGTGAAGAAGGCAAGGACCCAAGAGCGCTGGAACTCAGTTAGGAATCGAGAAGCCCAAGTGTGGAGACGACTGGATAACACCAGTCCCCTTGGCATGACATCAGGCGGCATGTGTGGCATTTGTGTATGTGTTGGGCAGCATGCTTTCTATGCTGGGAGGCCCACAGCTGGAATGAGCCCGTGTGACCTGACAGCTGCCCTGTGGCCAGGCAGAGTGGGGGGCTATTGCCTTTGATCATAAACGAGGCTTCTGAGGCTCAGGGAGAGGAGCAGACTTGCCCAGGGTCTCATTTCCAGTTAGTGATGGAGTTGGGTTCCAGTCCCAGTGCTCTTGGCTGAGGCCAGGTGCTTCTTGCCACCCTGTTGTCTGTGTGGCCAGAAGAGAGCTGAGGTACACCCTTGGAGCTGGAGCTGGGGAGCCTGGGAACTGTGGGCTGCTGAGAACTGAGGGCTGAGGTCTCTGTCTCCCCCCTGTGGCCACTAGGTGCTATGACAAGCGTCTGTGGCCTCGAATGGACCTGAGCCGGCGGAAGTCACTGACCCCGCCCATGCTCAGTGGTGTGGTTCGCCGCCAGCCCCGTGCCCTGGACCTCAGCTGGACAGGTGTCTCCAAGAAGCAGCTCATGTGGCTTCTGAACCGACTACAAGGTAGGGTGTGTGGTGTGGAGGACAGGGTGGTGACGGGGACAGGCCTGGGATGGAGTCCTCACAGCACCTGCTTCCTGACCGCCCCCCTCTCCCCGCAGGCCTGCAGGAGCTGGTGCTCTCTGGCTGCTCCTGGCTCTCCGTCTCTGCCCTGGGCTCAGCCCCACTGCCAGCCCTGCGGCTCCTGGACCTCCGCTGGATCGAGGATGTTAAAGACTCCCAGCTCCGGGAGCTGCTGCTGCCTCCACCAGACACCAAACCAGGTGCAGCCTCTGTTTGCTTTTCTGGAGAATGGGCTGGGCAAGGGTAGGATAGGAGGCCTCTCAGGTCTCTTCTGACTCATGCTGGATGGTAAAGTGTTTGAAGAAAGGAAAGAACACATGAGTTTGAATAGGAAGGCCCTGGTTGGGCATTATTCATTCATTCACCCACCTGCTGTGTACTTTGAGCCTTGAAAGGGACAGGGTTTTCCCAGGGAGCATGAGACCCAACAGTTTGGTGGGGCAGGAGGCCCATATTGGCAGAGGGGGATGCTGGAAGCAGAGGCCATCTCTCTTCATCTACTTAAATCTCATCATCCTTTAGGCCTGGGTATAAATGCCACTCCTCTAAGAAGCTCTCCCTGATTCCACCCCACACTGAGCTCAGAGTCCCTCTCAGCTTTGAGAGCAGCCCACCAGCATAATACTGGGCAATTGTGGAGTGCCTTGATGCACATCTGTGCCCTCCTGCCAGGGTCTATAGCTCCCTGAGGGCAAGCACTGGCTGGTGCCCCAGCACCTTCTCAGTGGCTGCTTTGCAGATAGCTGTTGAATGAATAACTTGAATGAGCAGGCAATCAGGATTGGAGAAGTCTAGTTTGAGGAAAGATTTTCAAAAGGAGATTTGCAGGCCCCTGAAATAAGATAATCCTTTTGTTTGTTTGTTTGTGTTTGTATTTTTTGAGACCATCTGGCTCTGTCACCCAGGCTGGAGTGCAGTGGCGAGATCTCAGCTCACTGCAATTTATGCCTCCTGGGTTCAAATGATCCTCCCTACCTCAGCCTCCTAAGTAGCTGGGCCTACAGGTGTGTGTCACCACGACTGGCTAATTTTCTTTTTTTTTGAAAGAGTCTCGCTCTGTCACCCAGGCTGGAGTGCAGTGGTGCAATCTCGGCTCACTGCAACCTCCGCCTCCTGGGTTCACGCCATTCTCCTGCCTCCACTACCACGCCTGGATAATTTTTTGTATTTTGTTTAGTAAAGACAGGGTTTCACCATGTTAGCCAGGATGGTCTCGATCTCCTGATCTCGTGATCTGCCCGTCTCGGCCTCGCAAAGTGCTGGGATTACAGGTGTGAGCCACTGCACCTGGCCCCCTAAACCTGGCTAATTTTTTTATAATTCTTATGGAAACAGGGTTTCATCGTGTTGCCCAGGCTGGTCTCGAACTCCTTGTCTCAAGTGATCTGCCTACCTCTGCCTTCCAAAGTGTTGGATTATAGGCGTGAGCCACCACGCCCAGCCAGAAGAATCTTTTCTTTTGGAGTTCTTTCACCCCTCTCTTTCATAGTTCCCTTCCTCCCACCCCACCTCCACAGCAGCCCTGGAAGGGGAGAATAGAGAAGCAACTAGGATTCTTTCCACATTCTAGATGAGGCACTGGAGGCCCAGAGGGATTGATTGCTGCAGGTCACCCAGTCAGGCAAGAGCACTCAGCCATTGTCCGCTCTTACTGGAACCGGACTGAGTTGGAGAGCTATGGGTAGGGGGTGAGGTGGGCATTGGGAATGGTGCACCCTGGGAGGTGGGAAGGTGCTGGCTGGTCCATTTCCTCCTGCTGGAATTCAGATCAGTTCAGCCCTTTATCAGGAGCTCACGAAGGTGGGCCTTTTTTTTTTTTTTTTTTTCAGTTTTATTATTATTTTCTTAACTTTTAAGTTCAGGGGTATATGTGCAGGTTTGTTATATGGGTAAACTTAACTTTTAAGTTCAGGGGTATATGTGCAGGTTTGTTACATGGGTAAACTTGTGTCATGGGGGTTTGTTGTACCGATTATTTCGTCACCCAGGTATTAAGTCTATTTACCATTAATTATTTCTCCTGATCCTCTCCCTCCTCCCTCCAAAAGGCTCCAGGGTGTGTTATTCCCATGGATGTGTCCATGTGTTCTCATCATTTAGCTCCCACCTTTAAGTGAGAACATGAAATTTCTGTTCCTGCATTAGTTTGCCAAGGATAATGGCCTCCAACTCCATCCATGTTCCTGTAAAGGACATGATCTCGTTCTTTTTTATGGCTGCATAGTATTCCATGGTGTATATGTACCACATTTTCTTTATTCGTTCTATCATTGATGGGCATTGAGATTGATTCCATGGCTTTTACTATTGTGAACAGTGCCATACACCTTCCAACTCTTGCCCAGCTTAAATGCCACCACCTCAGTGAAATCCTCACTGATGCCCACTCCTTCCTGCCCAAGCCAGAAGTGACTTCTCTTTCCTCTGCTTTCCTCTATGGGCCTTTCCTCCTTGGGCCTTTAGCTATGGCCCAAGGTTGAGGGCATCTGTAAAGGTATCCCCTTTCCAGGCCCTTGGCTCCTCAAAGACAGGAGGAGGGGTTACAATTTAGGACTTGCAAAGTCAAGTGCCCATTGAGTTGACCTGGGAGGTAACAGAAGTGATGCATTGGTGCAGGACATTAGGAGTGGCACCTAGCCGCCCAGCTCCCCACAGTCATCATCTGGTGGGAAGGAGTGCCTAGTGAGGCCAGATCTTACGATTCTTCAAGGAAAAGCTCAGTATATAAATTTATTTATAAAAATGTCCTTTTTGTAGTGTTAGTCATTAAGGACATTTTTAGCATTCTGTAGACTCCATAAAACACGTTTGGAGGGCAGCCTCATGGTTCGTGCCATCTGATCTATTAATAGTTTATCTTAGGGATAGGCTGGTGCCTGGGAGGCAGACAACATTGTGGTAAGAGTTCAGATTCAGCATCACCGGGCCTGGGTTTCCTGGCCGTAAACAGGAATGATGATCAGAGATCTTGTCTCCCAAGGCTGTGGTTCTTAAAGTATGGTCTGGGGACCAGCAGCATCCACAACACTGGAGAACTTGTTTAAAAAAAAAAAGTAAACCCTGGGCCAGGCATGGTGGCTCACACCTGTAATCCCAGCACTTTGGGAGGCCGAGGTGGGCAGATCACTTGAGGTCAGGAGTTCGAGACCAGCCTGGCCAACATGGTGAAACCCCGTCTCTACTAAAAAAAATAGAAAAATTAGCCGGGCATGGTGGCACATTCTTTTAATCCCAACTACTTGGGAGGCTGAGGCAGGAGATTGCTTGAACCTGGGAGGTGGAAGTTGCAGTGAGCCGAGATTGCACCACTGTACTCCAGCCTGGGCTACAGAGTGAGACTCCATCTCAAAAAAAAAAAAAAAAAGTAAACTCTGGTCAGGCGCAGTGGCTTAGGCCTGTAATCCCAGCACTTCGGGAGGCCAAGGTGGGAGGATCAAGGCTACAGTGAGTTACAGAGAGGTTGAGGCTGCAGTAAGCTGTGATTGTACCACTGCACTCCAGCCTGGGCGACAGAGCAAGACCCTGTCTCAAAAACAAATGAACCTGTAGACCTGCCTAAACTCTGGGGATGGGACAAGCAATCCCTTTTTTTTTTTTTTTTTTGAGATGGAATCTTGATCTGTCACCCAGGCTAGAGTACAGTGGCGCAATCTCGGCTCACTACAACCTCTGCCTCCCGGGTTCAGGTGATTCTCCTGTCTCAGCCTCCTGAGTAGCTGGGATTACAGGCATGCACCACCACACCCAACTAATTTTTTTGTATTTTTAGTAGAGACGGGGTTTCACCATGTTGGCCAGGCTGGTCTCGAACTCCTGACCTGATGATCCGCCTGCCTCAGCCTCCCAAAGTGCTGGGATTACAGGCGTGAGCCACCACGCCCAGCTGGGACCAGCAATCCCTTTTAACCAGCCCTTCCAGGTGACTTTGAAGCCTCTCTAGTTTGAGAGCCATTGGCATAAAATAAATGTAGACTATATTCTTTGGATGCCAAGATGAGGGGTGTGAACACTTGGATCCTGCAGATTGGGGAGCAGGGAGCCTGTGAGCTCAGACCTGAAAACCAGGGACAGAGGGACATGGGGCAGGCAGAGTCTCTCAGGCAGGGCCACTTGTGGAATGTGGCCCAGGTGTTCAGGGGTAAGGGAGAGGAGTTAGCAGCTGAGACCTTATAGGAACTGGGATGTTCTACCAAGGAGGCTAGACCTCTTTGAGGCACCCTCAGAGAGTTTTAGAGAAGGGATGCTGTCCCATTTGTATTTGAGATCAGCTTTCTGGATGCCAGAAAGAAGAGCAGAGAAGTGGAGCAGGTGAGGAGGCTGGGCCAGGAGTTCAGGCACCAGTTGTGTTGACCCCGAGTGGTGACCAGGGAGAAAAGAGAGGCTCCTGATGGGGACTTATTGACCATGGAGGGGAGGGAAGTGGGAGAAGGGCCTGGATGGTAGGCCCATCAGGGATGTCATGTGTCTGATGAATGAATGAACGAAAATAAATTGAACACCTACTGTGTCTCAGTTGCTGGGACTACAGCAATGAACAGCAGACAAAAATTCCTGCCTTGGTAGTACTGACAGTCTTGTGGCAGGAGAGAAAGATTAATAAGAAAAATGTATATATGGCCGGGCGCAGTGGCTCATGTGTGTAATCCCAGAACTTTGGGAGGCTGAGGTGGGTGGATCACAAGGTCAGGAGTTCGAGACTAGCCTGGCCAGTGTGGTGAAACCCTGTCTGTACTAAAAATACAAAAATTAGCCAGGCATGGTGGTGTGCGCCTGTAATCCCAGCTACTCAGGAGGCTGAGGCACGAGAATTGCTTGAACCCGGGAGGCGGAGGTTGCAGTGACCCAAGATCACACCACGGCACACCAGAGCAAGACTCTGTCTCGGGGGGTAAAAAAGGAAAGGAAAACGTATATATGTCAGAAAAATGCATATAATATGTCAAATGGTGAGAAAAGAGGAAAAATTGATGCAAGGAAGTGGTGGGAGTGTGGGGAATTACATTAGTTTTTGCATTGCTATAAAGAAATACCTGAGGCTGGGTAATTGATAAAGAAAAGAGGTTGAATTGGCTCAGGGTTCTGCTGTACAGGAAGTGTGGTGCCTGCATCTGCTCAGCTTCTGGGGAGGCCTCAGGTAGCTTTTACTCTTGATGGAATGTGAAGGAGTCTGCATGTCACATGGCAAGACAGCTAGCAAGAGTGGGCTCTGCTTGTCCTGCCGCGCCCCTTCCACTCCCCCAGCCTCGGCTCATCCAATCTCTGTGCTCTCGCTTTCCCTTCCTCCCCAATCACTTCCGACCATAACCCCCCCTACCACCCGTCTCCTTCGGCTGCAGCACCACCTCAGTCCACCTCTGACCCACTCCCCCCCCAAGGGGATGGACAATGAACGCCAGGTTAGCAGGGGAGA